CCTGCTCACTCTTAAGTATCTTAATTCTCCTTCCTTGAAGCATTCACAGCCAATAAACTATCGAGTCATGGTGATTTAATCTCAATAGTTCTCAAACCTGTCCTTTGCTGCCTTGACTAGAACTGACCCAACTTAGACCCTTGTAAGTCTCCTATGGGGTTTTACTCTATACAGACACCAGGGGATGGAGGTCTCTGTCTCTGATAAACCAACTCGTTTATTTCTTGCTTAAAAATACTGCTTCTCTACTAGAATACATTAGCATGGCGTACCAAGCATTTGACCACTTTCCAGATCACCTATGAATGAAACCGTATCACTGTGCTTTTTCTCAAAACTTGTTACTGGTCTTAGTCACATGTGTTAATTCATTCAAGTACCAAATGAAATTTTAGTCACTGCAGGTTTTCTCTTTCTACCTTGAGATGAACAGTAATTCTCTGGATGCTGTATTTCTACTTCCAAACTGTAAGTCTACCTCTAAATCTCTCTTCCATTCCCAAGTGCCCTGTCCTGCTCAGATCACATCATACTCATTTGTCCTCCATAGCAGTCCACCTACATCCTCTTATTCCAGCCTCCTTCCCACCATCCTATGCTGACCTCTGAAAAGTCTTAGGTAGAAAACCTTACACAGCACATCTTTACCCGCCAAAAGCCCAACCTTAGCGTGCTGTCCCAAACTCTTAATGCTTTGCCCCGTCCCATATGTCCTGCCTCCCTAAACCAGTCCAGGCATGGCATGCAAGAGCCTGGCAAGCCATGTCCTAATGCCCATATGCCTTGTTTTCTACTATTTATCCTGCATGGAAAGTTTTCCTTCATATCAGCCTATGCAAATCCTTTTCAACCTCTTGGACCCAGGCCAAATACCTTTTCTTTCAAGAAGTACTCCCGTTTTCCCAGTCAGACTAAAGAGAACTAAAAATAACTCCCTTGTGCATCCATTATGGGTTATGCCTTTAACGTAGTCATTATTATAGTCCAATTAATACAATGGCTAATTGTGCAGCATTGTCACCCCCAGCAGATTGGGAGTTGTACTACTAATTCTGTAATTTTGGCAAACTTATCGATACTTCTCATCTAGACATAGAAACATTAATACCTACGTGTACAGGCTGCTTTTAAACAGTATGTTAAAGAAGTGAGAAGTTCTAGGAAAATGTGTAGATCCTTGGGTTCCTGGCCCTAAGGGGCATCTTCCTGAAGATGCCACATCACACCTCAGTCATAGCATGTAGGCTATGGTGTCAGACTGCCTGAGTTGGAAGCCTGCTTCTGCCACTTCCCTACCAGCTGTGTGATATGGGTCAAGCTCTCAGCCTTCAAAGCGTCTATAGTAATAAGATCTATCCAATTCAGCTGTTATGAGGATTAAAGACAAGAACTTCCAAAAGTATTTAGCATATAGAATGTGTTCAATAAATGTCAGTTACAACTATCATATCTGTATCCTAGTTTAGCAGAGAAATTGGGACATAGTCTGTACTTAATAAAAGCTGGATTGTATTGAACCCTGTGCTTCGCACTGCAGTGTAACCTAGTAACATCCTTATCTGCATTGAGCATACTGATTCACTTCATTTCAGCTGGGTATTTTCTATAGTTAACATCCAATTATAAAATGCCAGGCTGTTGCACTATCTCATTACTTGGTCAACCACCAGTCGATGCAGTTCAATTGTAGATGGCTTAGTCTTGTATTAGCTCCTCTGAAATTCATGGGATGTTGTTCTAAGCATGCAATTCTATCACCTTGCTGATAATTTCTCAAGTGAATAGAATTCCTCCAAAAAGTATGTTAAAATATTTTAATATTCTTTTTTTTTTTTTTTT